TTTAAAGTCATTGTTGTGTAAAGCATCAAACAGACATTACAAAAAGTAGCTTCAGCAAGAAATATTTTGTGTGATAAAATTTATTACATATACTCTTTTGGACCATGAGGGTGAGTAAATGATGACACAATTGTCATTTCTGGGTGGGTGAACTATACTTTTAATAATAAATTTTATTATTATTACTATGGAAATATGAAATGATTTCTTTAAGGAAATGATACTCTAAATAATAAACTAAAACTGCCAGTAGGTGGTGGTAAATGTCTTAATGATTAAGTAATCGAGTAATTTATTCATTCATTTGATTCGTTCACATGGCTGATTCATTCAGGAGTGAAGTAAATGGTTCTTTATGAATGGTCCATTGAATCATTAGGCTTGTTCGACTTGAAGCGGATCATCACCATCAGACCGATCGGTGTGTGACATCAAAGTACCGCAAGAGACGACTCTGCATGCTTTTAAATTGCTCTCGCGGTACTTTGATGGCATACACACAGTGCTGCTTCAAATCCAACGCGCCTATGGCCAGTGGTTCAACGCTCCAAATGGTTCACCCAATTCGTTCAAAACGTGCATTAAAGTCGGCATGAAACGGAAGTAGCGATTGTCTTTTTTTCTTTACTGTGACATCTATCCGAATGAAACGGCATCTGAAATGAGAGGGCGGGACTTGATTTCGTACTTCGGGAATTGATTGGATTCGTTGGAAGTTGGGGCGTTGCTAACAAAATGGAGGCAGATCTGAATGCCAGTTTCCAGTTAGTTGTGGGGGGATTTCTCTCCACTGGATTCACCGCAACACCCCTAGCATGAAGAAATTTTTTATTTATTGAGGAAAACGAGGACGAGGACGATCAACGGCACAAAACATACCTAACAGCACGTGCGCAGAGAGAGACTGCCTGAATGACTGAGCGCGTCCTCAATCAGGTTAAGTCATATTCATAAAAAAAATGGTTTGCCATGTCCTAGGAGTAATGTTGTGGTAATATCCTAATATCCTTTCAATTTTAAGGGTAGTGTACTCCCCCATGGCTTGCGTCAGCACTGGTCAATGCATTGATTTTGAGAATTCTATAAAGCATCAGCTTCAGTTTTTCCCCCTGTTGTTTATCCCAGCGTTTACCCCTCACGTCACTAGCTCCGCCCTTGCGCCATAGCCCGTGACCGGAAGAGAAGATGAGTCGTTTTGAGGGGGAGGGTAACGTTTTTGAGGGCACATGAATTTAAAAAAAATAATGAAGTGCGCGGATAAATTATTTATAATAAACACTACAGTATTCCATTAAAAAGTAAGAATTTTCAATTTTGATTTCATGGTGACTTTAAGAAATGAAATGCTGCTGTGTGTTGCTCGGAGACGAACAGTTCTGCTTTGTCTTTATATTTTCGTTGGCAAAATTGAGCAAAACAATTGGGCAAAATAACAGTATTAACTTCTTACTTACTGAACTGTTGTATAAGATCAGTATTTGCACTAGTATTTGCTCGTGTGATATTGCTTAACTGATGTAAATATGAGACAAAAACTCGCAAACAGGGGCATTTTTGCCTCATATCTTGAATTTTAGTGACATTCTACGTTCTCTAGGCTCCATCACTCAGTGAGTTGTTGCCCTGCCTCATATTTGTCATCAATCAACTGTATGAAATGTCAGATGACCCACATAGGTCTGGGGCGGGGCAAGTGCGTAACAATTTTAACAAGTGTTTAAAAAAAAAAAAAGGCTACGCAGTTAAGTGCTCCATTTTAGTAACATAATATGTAAACTATTCAATTATTTGAAAACAAAAGTAGACTACAAAGATTGTGTACCATAAATTTCAGCATCAAGTAGTTAAAAAAAAGGGTTTGCGGTATGTCAAAACCAGGGGAAAAATGACAATTAGTTGTCTTACCAAGTTCATAGGTGTCATTATAGGCTACTAAAGTGTACTTACGTTTTATTTATTTTTTGATTCCGTGCTAATCAGCTATTAGTAATGTATTTTGTGCATGGCTAATGTGTAACTTGCATGTTTGTAATACTGATGATGTGGAATTGCGCCTCTGTTTATGAACACCCTCAACTCTTGCTTTTTAATGAAACTTAACTGTTGTGACTTTTGGGTTCATTTAAGTTACTGAACAGCCAGGGCCATGAGACAAGTCCACATCGGAGTATAAACAAGCCATTATGTTACTGCACTGAAAGGTGTTCAGTTTTAAATGGAAGATCCCAATCTCAGACATCTGGATCTCAGAAGTGTTTTCAAAACATTCAGGGGATTTGTATGGTCTTAGTTCTAAATTCTAAAAAGAGTTAGAATTCAGCAATGCAGTGTGCCATCATCTCCTGAGCTTGTGTGCTCCCGCATCTTGTGTCTTACCTGGCTCATCTGGGTTAATGTGTAGATAGTCATAAGATTTCTTGATGTATTTGTCTGTGAATTTTCAGGTTATCACAGAATGTGTTGAACTCATTCTGAAGCATCTGGGCATTCAGATTGAAAACGTCTAAATTCTCTTTGTGAATTAGAGAGTTAGATATTAGGCAAAATCCATGTATTGGCAGACAGCAGAAGAATGTTCTGTTTCATTCTTTTTAATATGAATCATCAATGATATGCCTCACTAATAAGTTTCTATTAAAACTCAGTTTCCTTTTCTTATATGATTAGCTGTAAGACATGTCAGATATCAAACTGTTGGATTGATTGTTGCTTGTGCTGTATGTGCATTTTGATTGGTATGAATATAATGCCCCTCATAACCCATGTTTAAACGTTTTTATGATTGTGTGAATTTTTATCACCATTTTATTGTGTGCTTGTATAAGACAGGATGCAGATTTGCTTGGTGCTTGTAAAGCAGAAAAAAACTCATGATTGTGTGTCTTCTTGCACAAGAATCTTCATTTCACTTATCACTCTTGTTTTATGGTTGCCACATTACAGGCCATTTACATCGCATGACCCTCGACACTGAGTAGTAATGAATATTGTCTTATAGCAATTCTGCCACTGTTTTCCGCTCTTGATAATCAGAACTAAGCTGATAAATTATTCATATCTCTGTCTGTCAGCTGCTGCGTGTCATAAAATGTTACTCTTCTAGCAGTTGAGAGTTCATAATTTTATATCATTTATATTACTCTTGAAATTAACTTGATTTGTCATTAAATAACTTGATTTGCCAAGTTAGTTTTTTAGTTTTTTTTTAGTTTATATAAATGTATATTTATGCTGTCATAGTTTCTTCTTGTGCAATATAAAAAGATAATGCAAATGCTGCTCATGGTCATGACCTAATAGAACTAGGAGTTAATTATAAAACTTTTTCAGATCTATTTTGTCATTGTTTTTGTCTCTGCTTTTGGTTCCTGCTGCATTACGATTATGTAAACTCATAAGCTTGGGTCTAAATATTGGTCACAGCAAATTCATGTCAGATAAGGAATAGATAATCTGAGCAAATCAGATTTACTTCTCAAATTTAAACTGGGAAAAGTAATTCTGCCCAAAGACAAGCGCTGAAAGGAAAGTCTTGAAAATCATGGGATTGGAAATGTGTTTTTAGGGCTGATGAGCTGCTGGAAAAGGATTAACAGGTTTTAATTGCTCAACCTTTGATCTGCCCACCTTTGCTCTCTTGCTGTCTCTTTCCACTTTCTGCTGAGAAATACACTGCTAAACACTATTGGCTGCTCAAGGTATGTCTTTTCAGACCATTTATATTATATTTTATCTTTGCCAAATTATCTTTCCTTCATTGAATAAGACACTGTTTTAATTTAACTGATTGAAGTTTATCCATCTGTTGGGGGATCTTATGTGACTGTGAATCCTTTGGTTGAGATGAACAGCCTTTCCCTCGATCTCTGAAATTAGTCCGCAATGATTACTGTTTTTTTTTTTTCTTTCTAAAGCTTATACATTTTGATTGATTGTATTGATTAAAAGTTGCTTTGATTGTTTGGTATTGGGGAGATTAGAAATTGAAATGAAAGGAGTGATTATTTATTTGCAACCTTGTAAAGATTTTCCCCTCAATGTAATTTTCCTATAAATCCTGTATTTCAGGAATGGAAAACTTATTTGGCACTTTTGTTTTGTTTTGCCTACTAAGCAGGAAGTGTTTTTTTTCTGCTGACACTGTTTCCTCTCTTTCTTTCCTCTGCCTTTCTGTCACTAACAGAATCTATGGGCCAAGTTAAAATAGTCTGTAGAGTTTTACATTTCTTGATGTGTAGGTAACAAATGATGTGAATTTGAACAATTGACTTCTTTGTACTTGTAGATAGACACATGGATGTTGGTGTTAAATCTGATAAACGGATTATAAGCATATACGTAAATGCTTGTTTCTGTGACTGAATGTCATGAATAAGAGAGACACTAGTCACATTTCACCTCTCTCATCTATCAGCTTCTTTTGTCTATTATATTCTCTTTTTTTTTTTTTCTCTCTCTCTCTCTCTCTCGGTCTAGGCGCAGTGCTGAGAATGTGTGCTTGCTGAATATCCTACCTGTGTGTCCACTAGTTTCTTTAGCCTCTCGGCTGGGTTTTGTCCCGTCTTTTGCTTTCATTCTCCTGTAACGAAGCACCCACCATGTCACAGCCACCTGATGCAGAGCCCATTACTGTGGTACCAGCAGAACCAGCAACAACTACTGAACCAGCATCTGCCACAACACCCACCGCACCCGTCACCAGAACTTCATTCTGGAGGGAAAGGAGAAAAAGTACAGTCTGGCCTCTTCTTTTTGAAGATATTTTTAAATCGGGTTGATGTTACCTACAGCAAACATGTAAAAGTTTTGGTTTGTTTGTTTTAAATGGTAAATAATGAGCTTGTTCTCTTCCTCTACAGTCCCAGAGAGGACAGATGAGTTCCTGCTGGCCAGGTTTCAGGGTGATGGAGTGAGATATAAAGCCAAGCTCATTGGTGTAGATGATGTTGCGGAAGCCAGAGGGGATAAAATGTGTCAGGATTCCATGATGAAACTAAAGGTGCAGATCCAAGATGGTTGCCTTCATTTCTGTGTTTTTATATGGGGAGATATGGGGCGAAGTGATGATGATTATTATTATTATTATTTTATTCTGTTAATGGTACAGATATTATTATAAAGTGCTCAGTTCTTGTTTGTATACAGGGCATGGCAATAGCTGCTCGTTCTCAAGGCAAGCACAAGCAAAGAATATGGGTGAACATCTCTCTAACGGGAATCAAAATTGTTGACGAGAAAACTGGGGTGAGTAGTTTTGTGGATACTTCTGTAAGTCGATTTGTGAAATTGAGAACTGGCCACTTCATTTATCATAAAATTCTGTATTGACTTTATAGCATGCTCTCAGTGTCATCTCTCGCTCTCTCTCTGTCTCTAAGGTGATTGAGCATGAACATGTGGTAAATAAGATCTCATTCATTGCTCGCGACGTCACTGATAACCGGGCGTTTGGATATGTTTGCGGAGCAGAGGGGCAGCACCAGTTTTTTGCTGTTAAGACAGCTCAGCAGGTCAGAGTTTCTTCATCAGACACAAAATACAAAATCTTATCATAGATAACAAATCTGGGCACAGCATGACGTTTTTCAAGTGCAGTTAAATAAATACCTGTTAATGTATGGTTTGGGGTGGAACTGACTGTTTGAATGAACAAAAGAAGACAATGTAGGATTGTCATTATTTTGCCGTTCTATTTGGTGCCACTAGCAAAAATTGCACACAGCTGAAAATGATTACAGTTGTGAATGGAATGATATGTAATCCGAAGTGTAAACCGAGAATGCATTTACTCCTCTCTTCTACAGGCTGAGTCTCTGGTCATTGATTTGAAGGATCTGTTTCAGCTGATATTGAATTTGAAGAAGAAAGAGCAGGAGGCTGCACAGAAGGTGATGCATATATTTTTATTACTTAATAACAAAACGAATTCTGTTATTTAGATTATAGTATGTTTTAAGTAAATATTGTCTGAAATTGAATAATGAATTTGGTGCTATATATTTCATGCAAGTAGATTGTAGGCTTGTCTAGATATTTGTCTGTTGGTAAGCTAAGCTATTTTGAGTACTCAAGTCATTTAGTTTTGCTCAAGCAGCTCACAAACATTGAATGCCTCTCAAATAAATTATGCAGAAAAACATGTAGTTTTCATAAACATATTTAACTAAATGGTTTTTCCTATTAGGTTAGATGCATTTTATTGACTGAAACCTTTACTACTTTGCAGGGTGAAGGAAATGGCACCGTGATTGAGGTGGGTATAAACATTTTGGGCAATATTTCAGTCAATTATTTTGATGTAATCCTTCATTCATTTGTCTTGATGTTCTGTCGTCAGAATGGTGGTGATGCTTTACTCACCTTGGATGGTAAAGAAAATGCTGTAAAAGTGCGTGCTTGCAACTTCATACAAAATTATATTATTGAACAGTTCAACTCGAATCCTCAGAAAATAACCTAGAGGATGTTTTGTGTGTTATCCTCAGACTGTAGAGCAGATGGACCTGTTTGGTGATATGTCCACTCCACCTGACATTCACTCTCCGACGGTAATGACCCTAAAGTATACATTTTTGCCGTGGATCTGCTGTTGATGTTGTTTCAGCGGTTTATAGAATATTTCTTTTAAAAATATCCCCAGAGTTAGAATGAGCAAAGAGTTTGCCTTGATACATGTGACTAGATTTGTTGTTGTACAGATTTTTTCTTAACATACTGAATGCTTTGCCAGTATCTTTCATTAACACTTACCAACTTACCAAAGGCATCTATCGGCCGTCATTTCTCTTGTAAGGGTCTCAAGCATTTGGATTGGCTTCTTTTCATGACCAAAGAAAATGTTTCTGCACTACCAATAATGCTTTTGGGAAAGTCCCATTGGCCAGTAGATGGCAGCCAAACCCAAGAAAATCTTCAATTACATCCTATTACTGGTGTTTGAGACCCTTCCTATGGAAATGTTCATGTTATTAATGCTATATGATTTTAAAGTCACAGAGATCATTTTCTAACTATCTTACTATTTTCTTTCAGTATTTGTCACAGAATCTATCTCTCATCTCATCTTTTTTCTTTTAAAACCAGCCTGACAGTGTTCTGCTCCTTGACTTTGCTTTTGTGATTGATGGCAATCAAGGAAATCCTTGCATCTCATACTCCAATACACCAGATGACAAACCGGTTTCATCCATTTCAGATCTTTTCCCAACTCTTAGTTCTGATCCCTTCAGTGATGATCCCTTTTCTCCCTTGAATGATCAGTCAGATTCCATGTTTTCTTCCAATAGCGAGTCGGATCTTTCTAATGGACTGTCCGATGCCCAGTTGTCACATGAAAGCAAAGTAAACCAGCTTCCTTTAAGCAATCTGAATGATGAAAGCAATTCCCCCTTTAGCCAGAATCCTTTTTTGAGAACCTCAGTGAACAACCCACCAATCTTAAATGGGTTATACAAGTCAGTTCCTCCTGTTTTCCAAACTCCTCTCTTATGTAATGGATCGAGTAAATCAGTGGAATTGTTTCAAACCATCCTGCCAACTTCTGTTCAAAATGGAGGCTTGATAGTCCTTTGCCCCCCACCTCAAAGCTCGAAGTCTGGATGCATGCGGAGGAGAGAGGTGAACATTTGACAAGAGAAACTCAGTCTGTATTACTGCACATCCAAATGCTGAGAGAGACTATAAGGACTGTGCTGTTTTGCATAAACAGCAGTAATTTTGTTTAAAAAGATTTAAAATACAGAATACGTTTTTACTTTAATGTAAGGATGTTCTCCTATACGCAGTGAGGCTTGAGAAAGCATGCATGGATAGTTTAATTATTATTAAACACAGTCCTTGTAGTTTGTCTTCTAGATCACTGATCACAGTTGGATTTATGGTTTTCAGGGAGGTGTTTGGTGTTTAACGGAGGTTTGGTGTTTTTTGCACTGGAAATATTGGCTTGAAACTGCCACATTATTATCTTGTGTTGAGGGACATGGCATTGTTGTCTTTGTACTGTCAGTGTCTTAAAAATTTATCATATATTTTTTGCTCATTAAGAATGCTACCAAGTTTTATAATAACTGACTGTGGTCCTTATTCACTACTTAACAGTAGTAGCTTTATGCATCAATACTAAAAGGTTCCTTTCCAACTTGTTTGAACATAATTAAAGTATGGATGCAAACAACAATGTCATGGCAATCACTGAAAACAATACTGTGACTAACTGCATGCTTCACTTTGCATGGTAATTGACATTTCATGAGCTCTACTCAGAGATGCAGTTAATAGAAAATTAGACTTCAGATTGCCAGTGTATTTTGTTTGTTTCCTTGTGCCTCCGTTTAAATATGCAGGGTAAGTATACGTTCAACCAAGTATCTACATATATATCAGATTTAAAGGAGTAGTTCACTTCCAGGATGAAAATTCTGTCATCATTTACTCATCCTCCACTTGTTCCAAACCTGTATTGAGTTTCTTTCTTCTGTTGAACACAAAAGAAGATATTCTTAAAAATGTTGGTATCTGAACAGTTGATGAGCACCATTGACTTCCATAGTAGAAAAAAATACTATGGAAGTCAGTGGTGCCCATCACCTGTCCGGATACCAACATTTTTCAGAATATGTTCAACGGAAGAAAGAAACTCATACAGGTTTGTAACAAGTGGAGGGCAAGTAAATGATGACAATATTTTCATTCTGGAGGTGAACTAATCCTAAACATACATATTTATTTTCCCATGACAAAACTTTGGTGATAAAATTGGGCTTTTTCTTAGTGACTGTATTAGTACCTTTTATACTCCTTATATCTTTCTTTTTGAAATGTATGCTGTATCTCGTTTGGCACTGTAATTTTGCTTCAGAGCATAGTACTAAAATTATTTTAAACAAATTGTGCCCCCACAGTCACCTGGAAATTACCTGTTTGGAGCTGAACTTTTTGCTCCACCGGCCCAGAAAGCGTCTCAGCCCTCAAATCAGACCTCATCCATTCCAGCAGATCTCTTCAACACCACACCATCCTCCACCGTCCATGCTCTTGGTATAATGCATGCTTTTGGTACACTTATAAACTGAAGTGGCTGATCTCTCTCTCTCTCTCTCTCTCTCTCTCTCTCGCTCTCTCTTAATTTCAATTTTCAATTTAAGAGTGCTTTATTGGCATGACAAAAATTATACATTTGTATTGCCAAAGCAATTGCAGCTGG